TTTTTTTTTTTTTTTCACTAGATTTCTCAGATTGTGGGTTAAGATAGACAATAGTGTATCTAGATAGTTTCCTATATATATGTTTGAAACTTTAGAAAAGTAGATAAACTAAAATTAAAAAAATAAATAAATAAACAAAACGTAACTAGTTATCATAGGAAAAATTTAAAAAATAGTCTTTGACTATTTTCCGAAAAAGATCCATCATATGGAGCGTTATCAACAATGGTCCACTAAATTGTCATTTTAATCAAATTTCGTACAAAAACCAAGAGTGTACTAAAAGTGATTGCCATTTTTAGGCAAAATAATACACCAAGTTGAGCGCTGTCAACAAAAGAGAGACATTTTGTTGTCCCTCACGGAAAGGAAACATGTAGTTGACATTTTGGTTGGAAAATATATAGTAATCACCCCACCTGGAAAAAAATTTTCCAGCTGACGTGGTATGATTAAGTAATGACGTGACGATATAACTTTCTTTAATTTCCTACGATGTATTTACGCCGGAAGTCAACGGTCGATGCTGGCAGTTAACGCAATAAGTCAACGATCAATGCCGGAGTCAACAGTCAATTGTCAAAATAATATTTAAATAATTAAATAATAAAAATAGAGAATTATTATTTAAATGAATCGTTAAATTTTGGTCACACATCGTGTACCAATCTAGTGGTTAGTAATGAGTCTCACATTCTCAAATGTGTCCTCATTGGAACCTTGGAGGAGCCTTCATAATTTTTAATTAAATCGATTAGTGATCCGTTGATCAGTCGATGTATTGAACCTTTATTTGAGTCTGTACGTCAATATACTTGGTCTGATCTTTATTTGAACCTTCATACATGGAACTGACCAGTCTGTACGTCAATATACTTGGTCTGATCTTTATTGTCCTTGTTGCAATGCTTGCCTCAATTGTTATCAAGGTTAATGCCAACTTATGATTTCATTGAGCAATTATTCATTTATCATTTAATCCATCCCTGTGCAATGAGGAATTTTGCTATGACAATACATGGAAAAGTTGAATAATTTTTAAACTATTAAGGAAATAAGTTCCCCTTATAACTGATACCCTGCCACAACATGACAACAACTAATATGGCCCGATACACGTTGAATAATATTT